AGGTGGTTGTAGTTTGAAGTCTTTTTGCTTTTCCTTCTTGTCTGCTGTTAGTTTTTTTGAATAAGTTTTTTTGCTATCCATCCTCGAGGCTTTCAGCTTCACCTTGAAAGTCCCTTGTACTAGATAGTGGTCTGAACCCACATCTGCTCCTCTCCTCGATCTTGTGTCCAGTAGGCTCCGTCTCCACTTCCTTGAGATTGAATGAAGTCTATCTGGTTTGGTGTGTCCATCTGGTGATCAGTGCCTGTGTATATCCCTGTGTTTGAACACACTGCCACCAATCACCAAATCATTGAAGGCGCAGAAGTCTGAGAAGAGTTCGCCATTTTCGTTCATTTCACCGAGGGCCTCGCGACCCATGGTGAGTTCTCTTCCTGTATTGTCTCCTCCCAGTTTCGCATTCATGTCGCCCATCAGGATTTTGATATCCTTTGGGACGTTGTCCATTACTGTTGTAGTTGCTGTAATTGGAGAATTGGTCATTTAGTGTGTGACATCATGACGGCTACTCCCTCGGTGTGCTCGTGATCGTCCTCTGGGTGACCGGAGTAGATTATTGTCTCTCCAGTTGATAGTTGGCTCCTTCCACATCCGTTCCATCTGCTCTCGCAGATTCCCAACACTTCTATTTTATATCTCCTCATTTCTGCGGCTACCTGAGCAGCCTTCCCAGCTTCGTACATTGTACGAACATTCCACGTCCCCATCCTTATTTTCGCTTTCATCGAAAGAAGGCACATCGGCTGACTGGCTTCCCGAAGGCTTTCACCAGCCTGCGTCATTTCACTTCCCCGATTCCAGCGAAAAATAAGGTCACTATTTGTAATTTTAGAATTTTGAATATATTTGTGCGTTGAAGTTTTAGTAGCAATTTGGTTAAGTTTTGGGGGTGGAGTTGCTAGCACCACGCCCCAACCCTCCCTCTTTATCCGGGCTTGGGACCGGCTAGAATACTATTGACCTAGTAATCTAGGCGAGGTTAGGATGCATCTTGAATAGTTAATATCGAATAAAATGTCCTCTCGTACTAGATGAAGGGAGCCTTTATATCAAGAAATCCTGAGGATCTTATTATTTTATTTTTTTTATGGTAGGCTATTTTGTCATTTAATAAGAACTAAGATATAAATTCCATTTCAGGTTCAATGGTCACCACATCATGAAACTATTTTGGCTAGCTCCGGCACAGACAGACGTCTTCATGTTTGGGATCTTAGTAGAATTGGCGAAGAAATATCGGCTGAGGACGTTGAAGATGGACCACCAGAACTGCTTTTTATCCATGGTGGCCATACTGCAAAAATATCTGACTTTTCGTGGAATCCAAACGATGCGTGGGTAATTTGCTCAGTATCCGAAGATAACATATTACAAGTGTGGCAAATGGTAAGTTCCACTGTTTATTATCTGAATGGTTTTTATTTAGCATAATTATTTTATCAAGTACATCTTAATTAATATTTAGGGAAGTTTCATATCATTTTTGCGTGTATGCGTTGAAACTCATTCAGCTAATTAGATTGTTTTCTAGCCGCAATGTCTGATTTTGAATTGAGAAGAACAAGAAGTTCAGCAAAGATATCTTTTCGGCGATTTCATTCTCAAGAGCTGTACAATCGCATTTATATAGATAAGTTTACAGGGACACAATTCTTATTTGTTTAATTCCACATTGTATCCATGTAAACTTATCTAAATAGATGCGATTGTACAGCTCTTGAAAATGAAATCGCCGAAAAGATATGTTTACTGAACTTCTCGTTCTTCTCAATCTAATGTTCCAATGGGTATTTTCCACGATTTGATTTTCAATTTTCATGGCCATGGAAACAAATTTTATATTGGAAGCCACAAAGGAAACAGGTTAACTTTGAATTTCAGATTTTAAGATGATCTCGAATTGCATACTGAAGTCGAAGAGAGAGCGCTTATGCATCATAAAAACTGGAGTAAAACCCGGTGACTTCAACGTGTGCATATCGGGAATGACACCACTGACTGTTCGTGTCACAATATCGTAAATTAAGAGATACTGGATCCCAACTAATTAGTTGAATAATATTTTTTGATTGGACACTATCCAGTAATTAGCGTAATGTGTGTGTGTGTCTAATCCTATCTTTGGTGCAGACTGAGTCCTATCATTATCGAATAATACCATGCACACCCAAAGTGGCGACAATTCTCGGGTGGATCACTCATGATGTCATGGGATCGCGAAGTTGAAGGGTTCCTAACTTGACAAAACGACTACCCGATAATCTACGGTGTGTGAAGAAAACCCTTTTCATGATATTATTGTGGTTTTTCTCATTTCGCCTTCTAAACCGACGTTCAAAATGTAGTAACAATACTAATAACACAAAGTCGGTTGTGTTTGTGTAAGATGTGTTTTAACATTCTTATTCTGAAGTGTTGGTTTGCAGGTTCTTCAGTACTTCCTTCCGCCCAGTAGTTCTCTGGCTGAATCTCAGTTCGAGATATCTCCGCACTTGACGCCTCCTACGAAGTGAGTGCTTAGTACAAGTGACTGGTAATCAAATACTTCAAGGACATTCTGAAATACCTTCCTTACGCCACATGACAGTTATCAGCTCACAATCTTCTCATCAAAATTGATTTACTATTTTTTTGTTGCTTATTTTCAGGCCGAAAATATTTATAATGATGAAGAACTTCCCTTAACAGTTGAAAATGAATAAATTGGCTAGAGTTCGCCGTCGCCGTCCTCTTTATAATTATTACATGGTTGACAACGTTTTAAAAGAATCTCTATCAGAGTTGTTTTGGTCATCATTTTTATTACCGTTATTGCTAAAACTATTTCCTTCGCATTTATCCACAAAAGGATTTTGTTCGATGTTGATGTTTCCATCTTTTTACCAATAAACTTAATTAAATTATGTTTTACGACTTCTTTTACAACATTATCTTATCTCGTAGACTTTACTGATCAAGGAGGATTGTGTCACTAAAAACCCTGAGGAAAGCATACCAACAGTAGTTGAGGTGTGGGACGTGTTACCTGCGGTGTTCAGAGAAAACACATTGACGAGTAACCAGTCTAACCTTTATAGGCAGCGATAAATGTTCAGGTGATGTTTGTCCTCTTAGTTAGTAAGAGAGAATATATATTATCTGAAACAGATAAATATTTAATTAAATTTAGACCATGTTAACTAAGCAGCTAAAGATCGAAACGAGTATTATCTGTTAAAATCATTCGTTAGTTTATTTCAAAGAATAGTAATTCTGCAAACCATAATAGTTTGTTTTCGTCGTGATGTAGTGAATTGTGATTGCACATATCAAGGACATTAAGGTGTGTCCCGACTATAAACAGATAATGGATTTTCTTCCGGAAGGTGAATTTTTTTATAGAAAGTGCATCTGCAATTTCTTTGAAATAGAAGCTGCTGATGAAAAAGTGACACATATGTGTACATGTTCGTGGTTACATTCAAACATCTTATTCACGGACCAAACAAAGAAAACTGGTTCGATTATTGGGTGCTCATATGCGCATACTGCTGAAGAGTCTGAGAATAGAGAGAAACAACTTGCTAGTGGTCCCTATTTTCCACTGTTTCTCCAATTGGTATTGATTTGTGACAAAATCTACCTTAAAATTGATGAAGTTTGCACTAACATAAAACTTGAAAATACGTTTAAGAGAAGCGTTATGTATTTCATTCTCGCAATATATAAAGGAACAGCAAAAAAAGTGTCAGACTGTCTAAAGGACACGTTTTGAAGTACAAGCAAAACCAACTTAATACAAAAATGTCAGGAACTGGCTGTCTGTCTGCTTCATTAAACTGATTATGAATAACAACTAATATATAAAAGCTACCGGGACAACACTGATTAAGTATTACTAAGCCACAAAAGCCGGTGAATGATAATGATCCCATTTGTGGCGTAACAACGCACTACTATGTTGTTAGACCTGGGAATTACGTATGATATGCTACAATAGAATGCTAGAAATTGCTTCCATGGGAAACACAAGTGATTATAGTCGTCTGAGACCTTTAACACAAAGGACAGGTTTTTCCGTATAATGCCAAATCATAGTATATAAAGCGTCAGTCAGTTAAATATCAGCCGCACTATACACATGAAAAATACATACCGACCAGCACAAATACATGGGATACTATCCAACAACCGATTCGAATGCATAAAGATCTTCCCATTAATCCATAATAAAATGAATTTATTTGATAAGAACACAGTGATACAATACGGTTTACTGATGTTTCAAATAAATTAATTCCGTGGATTTATAGGCCCTACCACAGTGCCAACTTCTAATCTTACAGCCTTTCCTTATTGTTATACTTTAGGAGAAACATTCGAACAAATCACAAAACTTTCGGCAAACTATACTTCAAGATATGGTTTTATAATTAGGAGAGTTGAAATGCTAAAACTGAACAGTTGAGAACTCTTAATGAAAAGGGTGGTATTTACTTCCAATGACGTATGTCTTCACGCCTCATTTTCGAAAATCTGGACATTTTAACTTAATTTCACCAAATTATACTCCATCTGACACTTATTACTATCACTGAAGCTCACGTCTCTTCTTTTCTGTGTGATTTATCGAACTTCAACTGACGGACATGGTTGCAATGGTTTAACTTTCCTTCTTAATACATAATCAGATATGTTTTGGTACACACTGACATCAAAAGCGATATTTTCTATTATCTTTAGGATAAAACTACTTACCTGTATATCTTTGATGAAAAGCTACGTAAATAGTACCCTTTTCCACCGACCTGTCTTTTTTGAAAGTGTAAGTGAACAATAATTTTGAAGTGGTTGTAATCTCTCTGAGTCGGTTAGTCTAATTGTAAAGCTTTTATTGTCTTTCCAGACGATATCATCAGCACAGAATTTAATATGAACTGAACCTATCTGAATTCTCCATGAATGATATAATAATCCCTTGTGGTGATCTTGGTTACTAATTTGTACTAGTATTGATTAATTTATAGACTTAGAATTCGACTATATTCTTCGCAATTAAAGCACCCGGTTCAGAGAAGACAACCATATCAGAATCATTAAACTGGGCTACGAATCTTCTCCATTAGAACAATAATCCCGTTATTCAACTTTTTAAGAACGTGAAGCAAATATTAGGAAAATTTTTATTTATTCTATACACTCTTGTCTTTCTTCTGTTTACGTCCGAGCTTGTTCTGTTCGCTGAATTCCTCCACCAACTTAAGGAATTTAGGATCATTTTTGTGCGGATAATAACCAAATCGGTCTCTTGCCTAAAAATCAGAGTTGAAAGAATAACAAAGTGAATTACTCACCTCTTCTAACAGCATATTCATTTTATCCGTCTTCTCTACTTTCGTAACTGATTGTTTAGCCTCTTGAGCATAATATTTTTTCAGTAATTCCGGCATTTTTTCTAAGTTCTTCTTAATCTGTAACATTCTGAGGACGAAAAAGACAGTAATATGATGACAATTAACTTGATACTTACAATTCTTCATTTTCCTTCCTAGTCTTTATCTCTTCCTCCTGCTTTGCATTCACTACTTCTACAACAGAATTTTCAAGTAGCTTCTCTTTCTCTCTTTCAAATGATACTTCTTTTTCATCCATGAACAAATAGGCTGGATTAATGCCGCTCTTGAATCCGTATTCCCCGAATAATCGTCGTCGATAGTCTTCAGTTTGTTCTTTTCTACTTTTAATATTAAAAAACTCCCTTGACGGATTGCTTCTTGCCTTCAAATGTGTGGGTAGACGTGAAGTATCGAAAAATTGTAATTCACTCGGTAGGTGTGAATCATTCCACTCTTGATCCCACTTTTCATAACCATTAGGCTGTGTTCTTGTTATTGTTTGATAGTCATCCAAATGATATGGTATCCACCATTTTCGATAATATTTTTTATTTCGTATTTGAGTAATTAATGCACAACTTTTCTGGTAGGCTTGTGTCTTGGAGATGTAAATCGATGAGATCATTCAAAATCTGTAGGGTGGAAAATATTACATTAAATTAGTAATAGTCACTAACTGAAAAGACAGCCATACAAATATTTATTGGCTATGTAATTAGTCTCCAGTATAATACAGATAACCATGATACTACCTGGTCTACGGTCAATTATTTGAACATCAGGTGCCTTGACCGATGACATATGATTTTATATTATTTCCTATTTGATAATAAGTTTTCATATCATATTTAAATATATGACCATTTTTTTATGCTGTTTAATTGTACGCAATCTGGAGTTGATAAATTCAAGTAGGTTTGACAGACATATCCGAATATCGGTAAAGAGAAGACAAGTATTGAGTAATAAAAGAGAGATATGAGAGGTAATAAGGAAATGAAGGCTGAATACAGACCGTCATTGACTCTCATTATATCTAGGCAGAATGAGTATTCAATGTTAATATTCTGATTATTAGAAGCATATTGAAAAAAGGCGTTTTTTTATCCAGTAACATATTTTACTCATTCAGAAATCTAGACCAAATAAAGCGTTGCTGGTGCTAAGATTCAATGACAACAAACCTATTCCGATTGCCACTACTGGGCACATAGAAATGTTACCACAGAAAGGTGAGGTTTAGGTTCTCTTTTGCTTACTAAATAGTTTTTACCTTACGAGATATTAATGTAAAATGTAGCATAACTGCATTAACATCATGCCTTCACCATTTAACGTTGGTGTGTTAAAACAGAAAGCTACGAAAAAGAAGACAAGACAGAGAAACTAACGGAAAATTGCACATCAGTGCGACTCACCACACTTCGATAAAGCACGAGGAAAAGTAGCAGGATAATACCTCCGCAAACAGACATACGCGTGACGGAGAAAGGCAATTAAAATTAATGAATACCTTCAGGATCTGAATAAATGATATGTGGATACATTTCGAATGATTCTGAGCTGCCTTTATGAGTCGCTAATTACTGATTCCAGCCACGTAAATTACATCACCTAAAGTAGCTTAGATCATCAGTAATCAATGAGCTCATTGATTGATACTATGTTATGGTATGGCCACCACGAACTACTTTTTCAGTCTAATGCTAACTCAGTCAACATTACTTGTCAAGGAAGACAGTGGGTTTGGTTTACGTAACATATCACCTAACTACCTTAACCGATGGAGATTCATAACATTACTGATCGACGACAATCGGTGCTATCAGGTAAGGAGTTCCAGTTGTTGACCACTTTGTGGAAGAATTTAAATTCCACACGTATTTTATTCGACCTCGGTTTGAGCACCTTCTTGTGGTGACCTCGTAAATGTATCCTAGAGGGAGAGAAAAGGTCAATCCCTAAATCACCCTTTAATATACGGTAAGCCAAAATTAAGTCGCCTCTCCTCCTTCGGTATGAAAATGGGAAGAGATTTAAATGCTCCATCCTCTTATCATATCCTTTCTGAAGCATGGACTCACCGCTTGTATGCAGTATTCTAGATGACGTCTGACAAATGTTGCATAGAGTACTTGGAACATACCCTCGTCTTATCGTTTGAAAGCCCTTCGAAGTGCCCATGGCATTAAAAAAGCCTTAGCTACGGCTTGATTACAATTTGCCGTTGTTTTTAAGTCATGGCTTACAATAATTCCTAAATCCTTTTGTCCCCTAATATCTGGCATTTCAGAGTCCCTCAGGAGTACGACGTGTAGGGGGGAAAGAACCTTGTAAAGATAGAGAGGTAATGACTTTGCAGTAACATACAGTTGCCGTTAACGGTTATGCAGTGTTTACAGGTATTTGTTGTCAAACGGATGCATGGTGATTCTAAACTATAGCGGCTTAAAATGAAACATTAATCACCAGCTAGAATTGACTTTGGGCACACTGCGGAATGTTTGGGGAAGACTTCGGGCAATCCGCACCCAAAAAAATGCGAGCTGGGATGCATCCGTGTGCACGCCGATATTGTTAATTCATGATTTCAGAATACAGTCATTGACATGAATTCAAGCAACGAAATCGGTTTGATCCGACACCAAGGACTTCTGTGGAAAACTGGTGGACATTCTTAGAACATAGACGAGATTGCTACTCTGCAAAACTACGTTTTACTACTTACTTTCAAATTACGCGCTGTTTTGAGGGCCCATCTGATTGGTCGTTCAAGGTCATTTTGATGGTCATTCGCCTGGGTCGCGATACCTTAGCTAATATATCCGACAATAAAAGGCGACTGGAAGACTATTATTGAATAAACAATACTATTTTGCAATCCGGAGAGCAGACATCAACAGTATGGTGCAGGTTGTGAAGTGTTTTACAAATCTAAAATGAAACGTCAAGATCAGTGTTGTATTCCTCGACGACAAATAATAGCCAGTATTTTCGTTTCCGAGAATGCAAAAGCTGAAGGCCTTCTACACAGTTGTTGTAAGGTTAATTAACTTCTCTGTCCTCTCCCCTTGGTTTTGAAGCAACGATTCTTGATCTTGGTTTAAGTCAAACTGTTCAGTCGAAACACTCATCTGCATGAGAACCTGTACAGTCTGTAGAGGCAGGTAATTCCACAGAATTATTGTCCACAGCATTCATCACTGAGCATTGGATGTTTTAGTCGATTTGTTTAGCTGAAGGCTTACGGTCGAGCATCCACACCATTTGGCTCGCCATCGTGTTACGTTCGTTCGTTGGTCCGTGCACGATTCCTAGATAGTTGAGCAATCATCTCGCACTCCGATTTGGTCCAGAAATATGATTCGTTATTTGGATGGTCAATTCTGGTGTTTTGCTTTGCCATTGGCCTATGCGGAAGGAATTCTGTGGAAGTTGTGGGTATTAGATATAACGTCAGTATACTTCGAACGTCGACACGCTTAGGCTCTCTAAGCTCATACTGACGATTCTGTTTACTTCTAATGTACGTAAATAATGACTTATTTTTATCTTTTTTCAAATGATAACTTGTTTGCATGCCTGGAAATTGCAGATACCTCTGTTCCTGCTTCGTATAAATGCCCTCCACGACTGCCTCTTCGCTGTACTAATGCGTGTTTGCCTATGTTGGAATTTGAATGAATCTCTCACCTTTGTCCAAAGAGTATTTAAGTACTTGGTAGAATCCACGGTGAAAACATGCCATTGAATCATACTCAGTGAAATGCGTACCTCGATTATATTGTTAAAATTGTTTGCAAGTGACAGATCTTATAGAATCCATTTACATTAATGATAGTTATATACTGTTTAGATATATATACTAGTTTGGAATTTCATTTCCATATGTTGAATGACTACTGAAATTTGTGTGTGGGCAGTAAGGAAATGGATAATTTTAGGGAGTTTTGGTTTTCTTTGATGACGGTGTGACTGGGGTTGATCGGTTTGCTCTCCATTAGTTTGGTGGCATTTTCATCTTTTGCTGAGTTTCCTATAATCAGCCAAAGTCATGATAACTCTGTTTGGAAGGTCTTAATCGATGAGAGGCATTCTATTTGTGATTATGTCGACCCGGAGACTGTGTTAGCTGATTATGAATACTCCTAGCCTCCACGGATTTCTACTGTAGGCTTTATTGTGGCTGGTTATTATCCCGTTGTTTTTCTGTCCTCCGCAACTTTTTTGATGGCCGCTACACCTCTTCCGAGAAGCACTGGATCTTTGGTGATGTTGGTCTCCGTATTGTGCGTATTATATTGCTGCAATACACCTGGCGTGAATGCATTAGGTTAGTCGTCTGTTAAGTATGGCACATCGCATTCCCTTGCTATACCCACATATATTATGAGCCTCTACATGTCCTTCCCTTGAACGAAGATCCTAGAATGCTTTGCATGGCAGGACATAGTCAGGTGGTGTTCGAAGATTCTGGAATGAGAATTTGGACTGAAGAAAATCAAAGGAATTTGTGTTTCCGGAGAAACCTAGGATATTTATATCTATTCCTTTGATTTTCAAGGCAGTTTCACCTAATCGGAGTCTGAAATGAAAACAGTGGTGATTGCATTGAGAAATGAAAATGCACCCCCAAAACCCCCCACTAACGTATTCACATAAAGGCATTCCTTAAGAGGGACAAGTTTAGTATATCGCCATATATATTTAGGCGGTGTTGTGTCCACTCTGCCTACCAGATGGGGCTGGGCAGTGGGGGCCGACCAAATGTGGGACCAAGACCTATGTTTGCCAGGAGCGATGGCCATATAAAAACTGTTCATGCTATTTGTAGTTGAAGTGAACAGTAAAAAAGCCCATAACCGCCCAAGGTAGCAGGATTCGCTGGTTCTATAGAGCATGACGTCATGATTGTTGGATAGGGATACATTCCATTAATTCTTGGCCAGTCCTCGAAAATTTGTTGGTTCACCTCCAGTTTACCCGTACACATTACTTACTGCACCGGAAATTTCATCGTCAGTTAGAGAAGGGCCTAGAAGCTTAAGTGCTGCGCAGGACAACTGACCAACAATGGAAACATTGTGGGTAACTGAATAAACCAGTGTGCTTCTTCACGATGCTAAGTATCTTACGATGAGAGCACTTTCACGTAGGTCTCCCTTCCGCCGAAGAAATCTATAATCCAGAAGGGAAGCGGGTCAGTGTCTTTTGCATTGCCATTTCCATGAAGGCTAGTGATGACTCAAAAAGTGTTAAATGGTTCCCCCATTCATGTCGAGCATGGCTGCTCCTCTATCTCTCTAATGGATATTAACATTGACCTACTAATAGGATGACTTAAATGATTCCTTAACAACGGGACCCAGATAGTTAGAATAGATTCTGAGACTTCCAAACCTAGCCCAATCACTTCTGGTGTTGTTCAATGTAGCATCACTGGGCCTCTCCTATTTACACTTTACATCAACGACTTATGCGCTAGCTTCTCACATGAGGGACCATTCATCTTTAAAGATGACCTAAAAGTAGCTTACACGTTCCGGTGTGATGACCTCGGGTGCTTCCAGAATGTGGTGAAGAATGAATTATGTAGAGTGACTGCATGGTCATCTTTACGGAATCTTTAATTCAGTCTGAACGAATGTGGATGGATCTGCTTCGGCGCACCCTCAATCAACATGAAATTAACTCTTCAATCTGTCAACCTAACCAGACTCTAAAGTGTCGTTGACTTGGACCTAAGGTACTCTAGTACCTCAACATATTCTGAGCAAATGGCATCACAGACTCGAAAGTTGAGGATGTTCTTGGGATACACACTCAGGAATATTCACGACAATGAAGCCATGCTAATTCTACACGAAATATGCGTAAGGTCACTTCTAGAATACTGCTCATTTACTATTAGCAGTTCTCGCATATGTGACAATCTGAGGATGGAAAGTATCCAACGATATTTACACGTCCACACTACTTGGCTACGACTGTAAGAAAGACTACATCTCACAGCGCATGATTCTAAGTCTTGGCACAATTTGGACGAGACGAATTATTACAAACCTAGTATTCGTGTTTGAGATCCTACTCAAAATATAATTCTCACACGATAAGGACATACAATTCTCACCAAGAGGCTCTTACGATCTGCGCAGCCAAACTTGCACAATGACAATAAAGGCCTTCAAATCAACACTCGGCGAAAACTTCTTCACAGTCATGTATTCTAAAATATGGAATAGCCTGCCCCTAGAAGTCAGAACCTGCACGTCGGTTAAAAATTTCAAACGCTCTCTGTACCGAATGTTTCATTCTACTGACTGCATTGACAAACTATTTATTTCTAGAATGAAATAATGATTAGTCTGCTACAGTACCTAGAAACGCACAAAAATTCTCGAATTACCCTATAAACGATAAACAGGTTGCTCGCACGAGTGCATGAAATGACTGAGTAGAAATAAATATTTACGTTTATTAGACGGCAGTTTACAGCGAACATCAACATATATACAAACATTTAGGTCCTACCCGTTTCCACGTACTTCTTCTTTCCTCTCTGGTACTTTGCTGCTCTCCTCTATTTACCTTGTAATTGGAGTTGCACAGATCTACAGCAAGACTGAAGTTGAATAGGAATTGAAGCCACCTACTTAAATATACCACATCGCCCTTCAAGCTGTTCACTCGTAATAACTCAAAATCCTTGAAAAATCCACTGTTACGATATCAGGACACTGTATAACATCCTGTGCAAGCAGTGTCCATGATCTAAAATGGTTTACGAATATATGTTAACCAACTAATTTTTTACATACTTTATCTTTCTTCTATTTTGCTGCTGAGCGTACTCTTCTATATACCTCCTGGTCGAGGTCGAACAACCCAACATCTAAATTGAAATGACCATTTAAGAAAATTCAAACTCAAATTCCATGAACGATCCGATGCAACCACTTGAAAACGCTGGCCAACATTCTGTACAAGGAGTATTCTTGATCTGATATAAAGAAGCAACTGGTTTTCAAGCAGTTTTCAATGTATTACTCAACTTACATGTACAGTCTGCCATGCTGACGCAAATGGCGCAAATGGATAGTTCTAGAATCGACCTCGGCCCCATTTGATGCAGTAAAACAATCTAACATGTCCTTATCTAATTTTCGTATCGACGATCAAATTTCTTTCCTATTATAAAACTAAGATTAGACTGGTGAAAAAATGGAATAAATACATTATTGACTCAAAATAATACATCAATAAACTTTATCTCAAGGATGCTGTTCACAACAAAGTTATATAGGAGAATTGACTTCAAGCTTTATTTTTCCCAGATATTTGTATTACATTCATCTGAAGTCTGGGTTTTTTGTTAATGCGAAGACAATATTTCTATATCTCTTTATGTGTTACACAGACAGACTATTTAGCAGACTGTTCCGGCTGACTCGAATGTCAGAAAGAACAAACAAACTGTAAATTCAACATACATCGAAACATGTGTAATTTATATAATAACTTATCCATGCCTGTACAATTGGTATGTTCCTGCACAAACAGGAATAAATAAATAAATAAACTTACTCGTACAGAACATCATGCAGCAACAAATAGCGGCTGACCTCAGCACAGTAAACGAATCTGTCTGACAATGACCAACATTAGTCTGCACTGAGTATAATTCACTTCTGGTGTTACTTACGATGAAAATGCAGACAAAATCATACAAATAAATCACTCTTCAAATTAATACCCAATTCGGATATAATTCAAGAA